AAAACCATGGCGCAAAAGAACCGAGACATCTCCATAAGATTCCAGATGCCTTACACAACGACCGAGGTTACACCCGTAGGTTGGTGGATTATACATAGTGGTAAAAGGGTCCAGTTTTCAGCCCCTTACCATACTCATTCTCCAAGTAAATCAGTCTTGTCGCTATGCGTTGTGTTGCGTTGTGTTGTGTTGTGTTGTGTTATGTTGCGTTGCCACAGGGTCCAATGTCTTTCGCTAGTCGGTGTTGTTTCGAGGTTTTGTCTTCAGCCCTGCGATGAAAAGAAGGGTACGGTACTTCTAGATCCTTTTGACCTCCTGGGAAAAAAGACTTGGCTTAGCCCCTTGTCCGAGTTATAATGGCAGACACGCGCACACCCACCTACTTACTACATACGGCAGCACACATATCTACGGCCACTACAGTCCACACCAACGGAAGCACCTTGAAAGTTCCCCGGCATCACCTGCAGGAGATATTTTTCTCCCGTAGCGCCACAAGAGCCACCGTGGGGAAGGGTGTGGGTTAGTCGCGTCCTCGCCGCCAGTGGTGGTTTGTCTTCATCCGGTGCGGACACCACACCGCATTTACAACAGAGGTAGGTATGTATGTATGTATATGCATGGGGTTTTTTGGTCCAAGATCTGCTCTGCTGCATACGGTATACCATGTCCAGAACAGGCGAGCACAAGGAACCGCTGCTGCAACACAGTGCCTCTCTTCTCTCTTCGATTTTCCCCAGACGAGAAGCAGTTCGTTGTTAAACCCATATCCATCTACGTCAAGAGGCCCCTGTGGAGTAACATGATCTTGCAGCGCAGGATCTTTGACAGATTGTGACGTTACAAGTTAGGTTTTCAGATCGCTCATCTATCACTTTGGCCCCATTATATACATACATATGTGTTATGCTTTGCTCTAACTAGCGATTCACGGATCCATCCATCGTTACCATTTGCCATCTTCGTCCGGGCTGGGAATAAATGGTTGGGTGAAAAGGTCTCCCCTCTCCTTATGCGGCTGGCATGCCTAAAATGTTGTATCACCCGACCTGTGGCCGGACAAGTGCTTAGGGAGGGAGATTTCTGTCCGTAAGGTGATGCCCATAATACGCCCATTGGACGAAAATCACTTTCGCAAATCTGCATGAAGCACCGTGTTAAGAACCGCTTCGAATAATACATACATACATACATACATACATGAAGTAAGGACAGTCTTCGTAGAAATTGACCGGTCTGTGTAAGCTGAATGGAAGGCCCGTAACGGGGGGCGGTGGCAAACTTCTCCTTCCCCGTCCGCTTCATATCCGAGTATCAACTGCAGTACAGTCCTAATATATTACATTACGCTTTTCTTACTTTAATTATCGTGATCTATAGATCCACAGTCTAATCTTACCGGCGTCAGCAGCGCTTAGCTCCAGCTGCCCGGTCGCTTATCCAAACCATTTGTCGCTACCTAGTCTAGTTCACGATGGCTGTCAGGTATTTTGGGGGCTATAGAGGACAGCTAAGGACTAGGTATGCCCAGTAAAACAAGGATTAGCCCGCCGCTGTCAAGAGAGTAGGCCTGCTCGAGACTTGGCTGCTTCGGTGGGTTCTCCTAACCCCCGGCGTGTGTAACTCGTAAGCACGCTGTTGAGGGTCGGGGCCATAGATAGAGCAATGGTGAGGATAACTACTCGACAAAGTTCTCACGGTTGAATTACAAGTCACACGAGAGTCACAGTCGATCAAGAGCCACAGAGTTATTAAATAGATCACTGTTGAACTAAAGACTTTTCGCCCAAAATGAAATAATTCATAACAGCATATTCTTGTTAACTATAATTTTTAACTGAACCTTACCAGCTGGGCCGCCTTCTTGGCTAAACATCGTTTTTTAGTTTCATGAAGATCAAAAATGAAGCTCCTTAAATTTTATCAAATTCGGAAAGAAAAGGGGGAATACGAAGGAGATGGTGTCAGGATTCTAGATGATATAACTATCTAGAATAAAAAACATGTTTAATATGTATAGACGTAGGACCTCTTAGATAGTTTGGAGTTTCTTGTGGAACAATAAAGTTGTTTTCATGCTATTTAGTTCCATCTCGTGACAGATAGGTAGCTGAGCATTACATGACATCCTACACTAGTAGGGTACAAGGACTCAGTATGATTTCAGCTTGGTTGCCATCTAGTTAAGGATTCTAGTGAAGCTAAAGTCTTACAAAATTGCAAAAAGGAAGCTTGGTCGAAGCTTATAGCGTCACCCGAAGATCATGGATTAAGAGTATGTCCATAGAGATCTAATATCTACGCTAAGAGCATACGCGTATGCGTCCCCTTGACGCCTCTACGCCTCGAGACGGAGAGTAGCATGACACTTGCATAGTTTATACCGCCACTGATACGGACACGGTTCTTGCATGTAGGTAAAGCCTCTTAGGCCCCTCCCCCCAGCCGTCCTTCTCGATTGGCCTAAGAACATCTGTTGTGCGAATGAAGATAGATAAGGGCTTGCATAAGTTTCTTTCTCTTTCTCTCTTCAAAATAGCGGTGAAATCGTCCATTGCTATTGGAGTAAATTCCAATACTAACCGCCCGCATACTTTTCTATACAGATAAGTTAGATACTTAAGTATGATATATTAATACTGACATCGTAGAAGATCTATTGGATGATATATTGCCCTCTGGAGATCTATGAGACAAACCCCACCGCCTCCCGTATGCCAGGTCGCCGGGTGCAAGTGCCACACACCTGCATTCTGACTACTTAGGGTAACCTGCAGGCTATACGCTCGAGCAAATCTAGCACGTGGGCTATCTACCCAATGCCCGTTGATATTCCTTAAAGCTTATACTAGACGGACGGAATACTTTGTATACCTATCCTTGAAGCTACTTGCTTAAGATTGGGGTTTATCAAGTGATAACGCTTACAGTTCTTTTTGCCCCCCCTTTCCCTGCCCCCCCAAATTTCTGGATATCGCCAAATAGCATAAGACTACGTTTATGTTGATCCTGCTTAGACATACTAAAGGGCTTAAAGTGTATCAACTTGTAGGCAGTATATCTGAGAGATCCATCGTCTATGCTAAATCGACCAAGAATACCGAGTTCCGTCTATATAATGTAGAATTTTAACAGGTCGTCTGCCAAACGCACGTTGATAACAATCTTTCCTTAGATTTAACTAAATGATATTAGAACCATCGTATATAAATACTAAATCGGGTATCGGAGTAATAGGAAAACATAATGGGCGTGGGCTTTGATGGACGACGTGGTCCCCGTGCCATACGGCCCTTATAGCAGCCCCAATTAGGCCTTTTGGTTTTGTACGGGGCATATTTGAACGAATCTAGTTGAAGAAAATACATCATTATAGTCTATATTTGATCTTCCCCGAACCCCATATTGGTTGATCTTTCTGCGTACCAAACACTTTGTCCCTCTATACGATAGCATCAGTAGGTACTGAGAGTTCGTCAATAACTCTTTTCACCCATTCTAGGAGCTTCTTCCTACTGTATCTCTGTATGAAATGTGGATGTAGATAGGATCGCGCATATAATTTATGACCAACTTTATGGACAAGCAGCCGGTGAAAGTGAAGGCTCAGACGCTTGGTTCGCCGTATTGGGATCTTAGTCCGAGCCCGAGTCGTAAGGTATATCCGATAATCCTAAACTCGGCGGTTATAACTTCAAATCAAATGGTTCCGGATCTATTATATCTAATAGATCTAAATCCGGTAAATTCGGAACTAACGGGTTCGAATCGATACATTGAAGCCAACCAACTAAAGACCTTTCGGATGGCCGTGACGTCGCTCGCATTACTCACACGGAGGAATAAGATTGCCGTATTTATGTAAGTAGCAGGTTGGTGTTGAATACTTCGTTACAGTACCACGTTTGAGATTTAATATATGCGTTATTTTGCGAAGGGTAGGAGTCTAAGAGATGATCGTTCTTAAGATAACGAAGCTTGTGGATATTGCGAAGCGCTTGACTTGGAAGCTCTTGGAACTCATAGTAAAGAGAAGGGTATATTTTTATTGTTTTTAAGGGAATAAAGACATATCATGCAGGAGTATACGGGTTATGACGATGATATATAATAACATTTATATATCCATGGGCAGGCGTGCTTATTACATATGTTGTTGGAAATACCGATATAAATGTTAGTTAATAAAGGGTTATTTATCTTTGCACTATTTATTTAAACAGATCAATTCATATTGGTGAACCCGAGTATTGTAACATACGAAAAAAGGCGCAAACACGTTCCTGTTTTATGTAGGTAAATGAGTGGTATATCACGATGTTTTTGAAAGGCAATGGTGCTTTTCTAAAGACTTTCTATTACATCTCAACATGATAGTAAATTGATATAATACCTAATGTGACCTTGTGATGCTGGTATTGCTGAGATTGGAGGGGATATGTTAAGTTAAATATATAACGACTAATATAACAACGTACGCGCAATTACATATTTTTCATAGTTTGTATAAATCGTCTATTGATTACTGTCTCCTGCTATTACTGCTAGTTAGCGATGACCTCAAATTGCAAGAAGCAGTTGTAAACTTGCCCCTGCTTGGCTTTCCCCATACTTGTCCAAGTAACTATTAAGCCAATTTTTTTGGTAGACGAGGGCTCTCATGCCGACGACCAACCCGGCTCTTGTGTGAATACTGTCGCTTTAACCATCGTTTAAATAGTATTAGGCCTTCCCCCACCGTGTTTCTATTATCACTGTCTACTCGTGCGCATTAACCAACGGAGAATGCAATTATGCCTCTTCAGTACAGAGGAAGATGAAAAGCTCGCCGAGATGATGCCCGAAGGGGGCTTCCTCAATGTCCTTACTTATTGGACAAGCTCTCTACAATCCAATAGAGAGCCCCGATTATGATTATGCGCAACGTATCGATAAACGGTGATAGAATAAGACCCATGTTCCATTTTTAAACCTATTTAAGAGGGCCATAATCTCGTACTTCATCGGCCGTAGCCCGGATTTTGACCTTCAGTAGGAATAAACCCAGGGGCAGAGGCAAATCCGGGAGGTGGTGGTGGTACGCCGCCAGGGGGGGGGCCAAAGCCCGGAGGAGGCATCCGGAATGCGCCGGGATGGAAGTCTGCAGGACTGCCATATCCAGCTTGCGAGGGCGGGGGACGAGCGGGTAGTCCTGACGGAGCGGGTGGTAGAACATTAGGTCTTCCAGCCCCTGGTGGCGGGGGCGCACCATTAACACCAAATGGCGGAGGAGGGCCACGATGAGAGGGAGGAGCAAATCCAACTGGTGGTCTGGGAGGGGGGATGCCGGCGGCCATGGAAGGGTCGAATCCACCAGTAGCCATAGCTGGCGGAGGAACGACTGCTGCGGGTGGAGGAGCTGAAGTATGGTTCTGAAGGAGTGCCGGAGGCATGGGTTGGCTTTCGATGGTAACGTTGTGCTTCTTTGCTTGAGCGGCAAGCATTCGTTCGGCCTCATCTCCATGACGCTCGCCTTTACCATCTTTCTTGTACGCGTACTGTACACTGATATCCTTGTTCATGAGGAATTGACCGTTCATGTTGTTGATAGCATCGTCACTAGCCTCGAAACTGCTATAACTAACAAAACCGTAACCCTTGCTCAAACCGTTATCGTCGCGAGCAATCTTTGGAGGGGCGATTAGAGTACCGAATCTGCCGAAAGTGTCGTAGAGAACCTTCTCGTCGACCATGGAGTCGAGGTTGCCGATGAAGAGCTCAGCGCCGATCTCGAGGGGCTTCTGTTTGTCTGCAGAGGCTTTATTAACACGTAGTAGTTTTCCGTATAAGCGAATGCCATTCATGATTTTGGCGGCGTAGTCGGCGTCGACTTCGCCATTGAATTCGACGAAACCAAAGCCTTGATGGGATTGTGTTACGCGATCTTTGGGGAGGTGTACGTTAACTACTGGACCGGCTTGGACCATCAGCTCCCATATTAGAGCATCGGTAGCGCGTTCGTCGATATTACCCACATAGACGGTGGCTTCTTTATCTTGCTCCCTGATGTTACAATAGTTAGTTAATATCATTGAATGTTGCATCGGTGTGTAAAACGCGAGAGACGTACCAATGCTTCGCCCCCGACATCTTGATGCGACGCTTTTCGGTGAACTTCTATGTTAGATTCTATGTTGCGTCGCCACGAAGTTAAGTCTAGGAAATCTTGTAAAAAGAATGTCGCGAATCGTATATTGTACCTGTACTATGTATAAGGTACCTATGCATGTAAGTAGCGGGTGTTGTTGTGGAGTCCTTTACTTATCGAAGCTTCTAACTAGTGTAAGTTATATAAAATTTCATTGAAACTTTCCAGATAGCAGGGATAGCAGGGATAGCTCTAGCCATCTGTGGCTTCTAATTGCATTTACCTCTTATTGGTCCCAACTTTACTTGATACCCACTCACCAACTTAAACCAATTACGTCGAGCGTTTGTTCTTTATTCCCCACCCGGTTTATCAACGGGCCCAAATATCGTCCAGCAAATAGCAAATACGACATCACCATAAAGCTCAAAAAGTTTATTCCTTACGTTTGCATCAACTAAAACGACGAACAAGGCCAAATTCGCTGCCGCCCACTCTTATACAACTTTACCATATCTCTCGGTTCGCTTCTCATCGAATATAACTGCCTATCATGTTCGCTCTTTCGGAAGAATCAAAGGAGCGCATTGGAAAAATAATTGAGATCGGAAGAGTCGCAATGCACTAGTATGTGCTGCCCCTCCAATGACCACGGTTTAAATATGTTCACGATGCTAACATATTATAGCGGCTACCTGCCTCTAATACTCTACTTGGGTATGTCTTGCTCGACCTTTATAAGACTATTGACGAACGCTTTGCGAAGACGATATCTGACCGCATAACTATTATAGGCTACACACGCAGCGATCCACGTCCTTCGATCATCAAGTACGTTTCTACCTGCCCTCGATATGGGTCTTTAGCATAAGGTTACTAATATTCTTTTATAGACTTTTATCTCCCCTCTCTTAGTATGCCATTACGAGGCGCATGCTAAGAGCACCTCTGTATTACTACTACTACAACTACTTCTTCTACTAAGTTTTCATCCATTGTTATGGCCCTGGGGACGTCGGCAAACATTGCGAAGCCTTATGGTGCAAGGGGATGGCGTTCATGAAAAGTCCATGATATATCCGTCTATGCGATGCCGCTTGGTGGCAGCTATGTAAAGTATAATAAATAAAGAAACTCTCATACCACCCACGCCGATATACTAGGTTCTGATGCTTTACGTGTGATTGGGCGAGTGGTCTATTTTCAAAGAAAATGGCGTCTAGTCTCACTTCCCTTGGAATGAAATAAAAACCACTAGTATCTGGCTATGATTATGGATCGAGGCAAATGGCTTCAGTGAATAACTTATGTTAGGTAGTAATTAAGTACGAAGTCATTGGTAGTGCCACTTGAGTATATGTAATATTGAAACTCCCGTGAATAATGTTAAACAAGCCCTGAATTACTACACGCCTAGTTTCGCCTCGCCTGGACCAGTCCCATGCCGCGATGCCGCGATGCCGCGTCTGCAGTGTTGTACAATAAGTAGTAGATCAATCTTCTCGGCGACCAGGCATCTATCCATCCTAGTGCCGCAACCCCCCTATCGTCTCGAGCTTCGGTGTCTCCCCACGCAAGTCTCCCTCATAACAGGGTCCCTTCAACTCTCGCCCTCCTCATAGAGATAAGCTATAGCTATACTCGTCCTCCATATTCTGACTAACCCATAGTATAACCGAGCTCAGCATCACAAGCCCATTAGCAACAACATTCTCCACACCCATCCCCATCATCGGCCAGCTCACATCCGGCACGACAAACTTAAGCACGAACACGGCCACACCCCCTGCCATACCGCCCGCCAGAGCCGCAAAACCAAGGAACAAGACGACGCGCGCCTTCCATGCGACGCCCGAGCCGCTGTACGAGAACGAGTCGGCCGACAAGCGCGCCTTCTCTACCGAGTTGATGATCAGCATGCCCAGCGAGCTGAAGATCAGCGGCAACCAGTCCACAAACGTCACGTGCACGTCGGAGCCATTGAGTGGTGATTTCGACCATACCGCTGCGTCGATTAGGATGTAGAATGCGAGCGAGAACTGCGAAGGTTGACGGGTTAGTCTGGGAACTAGCGGGATGAACTATGGGCAGACAGGATATGATAGGATAGGATGGACGGGGGGAAAAGGGTATCATAACCAACGTACCAGCGCACCCGCCGAATACACGCCCGCGCCTCGCGCCCAGGCGCTGTTAAGCCAAGCAGGCCGGCGGAACTTGAAGAGACGGTCATCCTCCATGGTCGCGAGCGTTTAGGAAAAGGGGTTGTCAAATTAACAAGACCTATCGAAGGCCGAGAGATAGTTAGAATGGTGTTTAATGGAAAAGAATAAGTCAGTCGTTAGCTCTGGCTGAAATTCCGAGCTTAGGGGATAGATTGATTGATTGATTAATTGATGAGGCTGATGACGACCCGGCAGAGTCTTGGCATTAACAAGCTGCGTGATATTGACACGTGATATATCCCTTTTACAACGGTAGACCATACGTGTACATATATACTGTTTATATACATGTGCATACTATGTATAATGCAGGTTCGTAGAATAAGGTTCCAGCAGCACCACAGTCTTCCATGTCTACGATTAATTACTTAAACTTTACTCTGATACATGTGCAATAGGTAATGAGGTGGGTATTACGAACATTTACGACAGATATTTCAACTATCATTCTCAATCAGTTTTATATTAAAAGCTCAAAAAAAAGCTCTACGGTACCTGTTCCTATGCCTTCATCGAGTGTCTCTGATTAGGCGCCCATTCCCTATACATAGGGTGCTAAAGTCATATATTGAGTCCTGAAACGTTGACCGAGTACGATGTGCTACCACCAACGCCTGAGAGACTCGACGCTAGAGTCCTCCTGAACGCCTTTCTTATTCATTGTCGGTAGCTCGAATTCCTGTCGTAGCTCTACAGACTAAAACCCCTTTGATAATGCTACTACATCGACAAATGCGGTCCTAACCGCTACAGGCTCGCTAACCAACTGTACAAACATCTCTGGCCGCTTCGCCATCTCCATCTCCATCTCCATCTCCATCAACGGAAGAACTCAGATCCGGCCATCTGGCCATGCCCCTGATAATATCAAGGGGGGCGGATGACCGGGAACTGAATAAAAGTAGACGAATGATATTAGTACAAGAATAGTGGCATTTCACCTATTGAATTAAAATCTTTATGTGCCGTCAAGGATCTTTGTCAAGTCCTGCGAAGGGATGTCCAAATCCCGCTCTATTAACGGGCCCAACTTAGGTGGAATATTAATCAGGAAGATTTGTGCGCAGCTGCAAGAAACGAGACCTCTGCCGAAAATAGTGGCGATGCCGATCTGCACCGGCTCTGACCTTTGAACGCCTCCCTTTTGCTGTCTATTAAGTAGTCGTGTTACAATGCATTTCGTTGTCGGTCGTCGAACTTTCGTATCAGATCTCAATGGTCTTCATCCCTTCTTCTAGCTCCTCGCTTTCCGTGATGCCATTTGTCTTCGTGGATTCCGGTGTCACGTCTTTTCCTTTGGCCTCAGCAATCGACGGAAACTTAGGTGTCTCATCGCTGGGTCGAGGAGTTTCGACTTCCACAAGCTTGGGCTGGGCAGTACCATTCGCGCTTGATTTGGATGCTGAGCTAGGTGTTTCCTCAGTAACTCTGGCAAGAGGACTTGACTTTCCGAAACCGGGACGGTTGGGGCTTGCTAGAGGCGATGGGCTACTAAGACGTTGCAAGGTACGACCTCGGGGCTCTCCGCTGGCATCTGCTGGAGAGACATAGGGTGAACCTCCGGGAGAAGCTCCAGGAGAAGTAGGGACGCCCAGCATCTGCGATCTGCGCTTGGCGGCTACTTTGGCGCTGCGCCCGTGCTTCTGGTCCATCCTCCACCTTAGGATATCGAAGTAAGATGGCTCAACACGAGTCGACTTAAACTCGCGAAGCTTGAGCTCTTGAGTATCCTCATCGACAAACCATTTACCGCTGTTTAAATCGTCCGCAACTACCGACAGGAAAGCTCCCCAGGACCTGGCGACAACATACTTCGTGTCATAATCCCGACCGAAGAGAATAATCTGGCCCCAAATACCATTTGGACCGGGAGCAAGATCAACAGCAAGGTTGTTTCCACCCCAATCTCGCACAAGGGGGATCCAAGCAGGGTGTGCATAGGCTCGTTGAACCGCTCCCGGAGGAACACAGTCCTGACGGGACTGAAGATCTTGTCTCCAGGATTCTTTCTGTGACCCATGCGAACTAGGTGAACCGGGAGCGGATTTAGACGACGAGGCTTGGCTGCTGCCGCCGAATGCCTTGGAAGGAACTGCAGGTCTCGCGACCGACGTCTCAAGAAGATACTGTTGATTAACTCTCCGCCACTGGTCCCATTCTTGAACAATCTCTTCACAATCAAGAAGCATAGAACTGAAAATAATTCCAGTTGGATTACCTCCGCGTTCCTGCCCATCATGAACCGCTAAGGAGTCTCTAACATCCTGAGGTAGCGAGCAATCTAGCTGGTGTTCTAGCTCATTCATGTCGTTGGTCGTGCACCCGTCGCATAGTTGATCATATAATTCTGGATAATTCTCCTCGGCCCACTTATCTATCCGCCTCCACGAATGAGCCGCCGGGGGTGCCGGGGGCGCACCGTTTGCAAACGACTGCATCGGAATCTCTCCAGGGCTACTAACAGTTTCAAATCCATCGTCTTTGCTGTTTTGGCGCTGAGCGTTGAGAGACCGTAAACCAGGAGAGTATGGACCGTTAGAGTTAGGAGAGAGAGGAGATGCCACCGGAATACCGACGCCTGTGTATGATGTGCCATCCATGCCGCTAGATAACCGGCCGAGTTCGTCAATGTACGGGGATGTAATATCAGCTCGAGATTCCGAAGCAGTGGCAACCGATGTGAGGGTGTCTTGTCTATTAAGAGGTACATGGCGACCGGTTCGATAGGGAGAATCGTACGACGAGTCTAAAAGAAAAGTAAGTAGATGCGATAACTAATAGTTGCATCGAATTACTCACGTCGATCATAACTGGTCATAGTGTGCCAGAACGAGCGAAAAGCTCCTCCGAGCCTAGACGTTCATAATTAGCAAGCGCGAGGTAGAAGTTGGAATATAACTTACGACATATTGGGCGGTTCTAGATTGGCAAGTCCCTAGAGAATAAGAACTAGACTTTGTAGGAGATTTACTATAGCAGCGATGCTCAAGGGAGCAAGGCGATCCGGCACAGAAAGTATTTCGAGGTATGCGACGGAACAGCTGTATTGGCGATTTTTTATGACTAAAGAAGAAAGATCGACAACGGCTAATGGGAATTGCAACTGGAAATGTAGTCGTGTAGGGCTGAATAAAGATAGAATAAGTGCCCCGAATGGAACGGACGTTGGTGCAATAGAGGTGCGCGCGTAAATGTTGGAGTATATCATATAGCGGAGGGAATGATAGTTATCTCTTTTTTTCCCCTTTACCACAAAAAGGAGGTAGACGAGACTGGTCGGGATCCTATGTGGAGAATGGGCGGGTACTGGGCTTTTTTTTTTATCGAAACGTCAATATCTTTGTCATTTCAGATCCAGCTTTCCCTTGTTCCTTAAATTATCGATTCGCTAAAATGGGAACGAAGCGATGGCTGACTCGAGATTGATAACGACGCGGATGTTTTTATTTTATTTTTATGCAGCTTGGCTCGATATTATTGCTGAGTTTGACCTGCAATATCCTCGAATCCTGAATCACTAGTAACTCTTTGGGACTTAGGAGGTGGATCTCTAGAAAGAGTGTGGGTTTCTGGCGCGTCCTGCCTTTTAGTGACTTTGATAGGTTTTCGCAGAGTTACCGCGGAGACCGGATGTGAAATTCAGAATGTAAAAAAAAAAAAAACGAACGAAATTATTCTGTAGATGAATGGAGGGCAAAGGAGATGATTTTGTTGTTTCCCCCCCTCGATGTTTGCGACGCTATGTGAATGTAGAACCGGGGATGGAGGTTGGAACTTGGAAGGGGGCTCGTCCAATGTTGAATTTCAAGGGGATTGATGGTCAGTGGGTGACGCGCCTATTCAAGGGGGGGATTAGCGACGGTTATGCTGCAGTGCTTGGGTTAGTTTATTTATCATTGTACTCACTGTTCTCACTGTACTTACTGTACCGTAGGCAAAACGGACGAAAACTGCGGTGTAAAAGTACAGTGCGAAATTATGCAGGAATGGTATTTCTCTAACCATATACGGATTAGTTCTACAATCCTGAATTTTACGTACCTAATGTGCTACCTAACGCAGTGTGTACAGATCGGTATAAATGGTACAAATTAGGTAGTATTAAATTAACTTCCCCCATTAAGCCTACTTGTGCCTATTATCTAGGACTAAGAGAGGCAGGTCAATTCAAGTTTGTCTCGATCCTGCTTATCCTGCCTGCTCCTTGCTCCCATCCCATATTCTTTTTATGTGCTTAAATAATAAAACAATGTTATGATTATTGTATGATGCCTGCATGCTAAGATATCGGTAGATATAAATAACATTATGGAATACATACATATGGTAGCTATTAATATATAGTAATAGGGAGTGAGGCTCTTGCCGCTGAAACTTCTAGATGTTACCTCAGGAGGTTTAAAGGTAGGTGCATAGATATGGTGCATATCATTTGATTTTTGATTAGCTACTTAGGTATGTGGAATATATGTAGGTAGGTAGGTAGGTATGTATGTATGTATATACATAGGTAACTTGGGCCCTTCCATGTAGAGGTTCTAGACTACGGGGTCTCATTTCGACCTGTACTGCCTTAAGTTTCACCACCGGGATGGAATCACTTAACGGTTGGAAGTATGAAGGTAAACCTGGTGAGGCATAAGGTAACTAATAATTAACCGGCCTGTCAAGTTTCGGGGCTAATTCATGTCAAGGTATTAAGTTCCCCATGTCATTAACTAGTATAACTATACATCCACTAATACATGTATGCATCTATCATTCATCAATACTGACAATTTGTTATTATCATCGCCTCTTTTCTCATTAGTTATGTCTAGTTACATCAGTAAATTCTTTCGCTTATTTGACGTTTGATCTGACGACACCACTATCATACATATTGTCATCGTACATATACATTTGGGGGGGCAACGTTGCGCCTACTTGTGTTTATTGGAGATCGAGGATTCTTGTTCCCCTTCTCGTTTCCCCCTTTTCAGCCAATCGAATGCGATTGTTTCGCGTCAGGGTCC